AAAAAAGATGTGAGCAGAGGAATTAGAAGAAATCAGTTATCTGAGGATGAGAAGTAAAATCTGACAAAGGAAATGGGAACAAATAAAGGGACTTAGAGAATGTGGATTTAGACGGTTAGCGATTTATAATGTGAGGGATGGAAGATGATTTTGACAATGATTTTGAAAGGCTTTGGATAGAACAAGCTCAGTTTTAGAGAAATGTATTAAAGAAAAAGCTAGACTAATAAAGCTTAGGTAACTTAACTCAATGGGCTGCCAGATTAGCCATAGATTCTCACTGATGGGGGGCAAGGTACAACCCAAGAAGGACATGAGGCCTGAGGACTGATGGGAAAAGAGCCTTGCAGGGAAGCTAAATGTCACCCCATCCCAGTAAAATAGGGAAAAAACAATCCTGCAGAGAAGAAGCAGATGGCTTTGGTGGAATATGCGTCTCTATGTTAGTCTTTGCCCTATTTCCACTACTAGAATGGGAGGAAATCTTGACTAGAATAGGCTTTGGTCCAAAGTAAAGAAAAGTTGCGAGTAGCAATTAAGGGTTGATGGCACTGTTATTCTCAAAGATGCTGTAAGGGGCTCCTTTGCTGGTTGGTTGGTTTACAAAGGGAAAAGCCTGGACAAGATCTGGAAACAGGAGAATAGGAAAGGAGGATTGATATCTCTTTATCAATAATATAAAAATGCTATCTCCTTTTTGACCTGGGACAAGCTTGTAGATCATGTTGCCTTTAGGGAAATGTTTCTCTTCTTTAAAAGGGATTTTGACTATATTTGTTCTGGGAGGGATGAGTGTGTGTATTGTTTGGCTGAAGGTCCCTAGTGCTGTTCCTGATTAACAACTCGTTCTTTATGGGGAGATACTACTGTGAGCTATTATGTCTCATGGATTGCCCTAACTGGAAGCGGAAGATCACATTTTAGGACAAGATAAACCCCCTTAAGTAGAGGGATAAAGTTTCCTAAAGAAAGGTAGAGTTCTGCAACATGATGGATTTAAGAATGTTCTTTCTCTATTTCTGAGGAGGGACAGAGGAGACAGGTTAGGAACCAGGGGACCCCATGAGAGAATCTGTGTGAAGGATTTAATTTGCTCTGTATTTTTTTCATAGACCCTGGAACAGTGATGTTTAGGACCATTTTTAATATTAAAAATTATAATCACCTCTAATTAGCTCCAAACCCTCGATCAAGTCCAACTTTGTATTGTTGATGGAATGAGGTGACAGCAGCAGAGTTCTATAGAGGGGACAATGCCCCTGGAGATCCAAGTGGTGAACTAGCAGTGAGTACTCAGAGGCCCAAGGTGGAGCTGGGAGAGGTAAGCCATGGTGCTGGGCTGCTTCAAGATCAGATGAAATTGGAATGACCTTTAATGGGGGAAGTGTCCACTGGGATTACACAAATCAAAGAATTGAAGCTTTTCCGTCTGCCCTTCCATTAAGTTGTTGGAATGGCAGATTTCTCAGGATCCCAGGTAGCTGAGTATATATGTGGCAGAGGCTTTCTCAGAAATGCTATATGTGTATTCTAGAACGGTTGAAGATGAATGGAGAAAGGGGGAGCCAGGAGGGATCCACCAGAGGACCCCTAACAGAAGCAAGTGGGGAAGCCAAGTCAAGAAGTCTTTCCTCCTCACCAGTCACTATTATAGTAAGGTGGAAAAAATGCATCTATAAAGATATAGGATTTTGACAGAACTAGGAATTTCCATTTACATTTGCCATTTATGGATATTATTTATTGTATATTGCTTCCTATTAATTAAACTTATATTAAAATAATCTTGTAGTGAGAGTGTTGGCAGGAGAAACACCTGTTCTTTGTTTCATTACTAGGCAAGTTGGGGCTGTTGGCAGAATATTCCAGCAAAATCAATATTCTATGAAACTAATTATCTAGAGAACTTGTGGAAGGATTTGCTGTGGTGGGTGATACACTTAGATGAGGAATTTTTCAGTAGCTGTGGAGGTCTCAAAGGATTTATTTTTGAGATGGGATAGCTGAAGAAGTAAGAGTTAACAGTTTTGGGTGTGGGAAGAGGAAACAGCTGGAGATAGTGTTGTCATTGCAAAATTAGAACAAGGCTTTGGCAATGCTTCCAGCCACATCATATAATTAGGCAGGAGACTTGTGAGGGGAAAGACTGGGAACTTGGTCTTAACTGTATTGTATTTGAAATGTTGATTTAAATTTCTTTTTGGATTTTGCCCCATCTATTCTTCTAGCTTTTGAAAGTGGAGTAATTTATCTTCATACATGAGTTCAGCTCCATCAAAATCTTCTCTTCTTCTTGCTAGGGAGACTGGACTCTTATCCGATCCCATAAACTCCATATCTCAGATGATGATTCATCGCTTTGGGAGCTTTCCCTCACCTCCAGCACCCACTAATACCACTGTTTAAGTAGGCTTTATCTCCTGTTCCCTCTCTAATCCTACATTTCTATTTGTCTGCAGGACAGTGCTATTTGAATGTCTTTATACATTGTATTTAATTCATTAAATAAACTCATATAGTTTTCTTCTAATAGTTGCCTTTCATGGTTTTGTTCGTGACTGTCAAGAGGACACCTTGGCTTTTCCTAGTTCCCTAAATAAAAACTTCAAGTCTTTTTTGCACCCAACATCCAATCTCTTATCAATTTTGCGAATTCGTTTTTACATAAAGTCCTATAGATTTACCCCATTCCAATCTTCATTACCCCTAATTAGCTTTTAATAAAAAATAGATAATTCTTATATTTTCTCTCTGAGCCTTATGTATTACATCTTATAGTCAGCAGCTAGCTGAATCTTCCTCAGACATGATTTTCCAATTTCATCCACATACCTCTGGCTTCAGTTCATTCATTCATTCAGCTTCTTTTTTTCCAATATTGCTTACCACTTTACACCCGCATAGTCACTTAGAAATAAAGAAATACAATCTCTCGCAACAACGTGTTTCTAATGCAAGTTAGTTTAAATATGACTAATAAATAGAAGAGCGATATCAGAATAATGCAGAAGTCATGTTGGTTTATGTGTTTTCTATTTATTAACATTTTGTGCCAATAAGTAATAGCATTGAACACTTGGAACACAAAGGACAAGGACACCATCAGAGCTGAATGCAACAAGCCAGTAGGAGATACAATGCCTAATCACTGCATGCTTTCTCTTCCCTCAGTTTGGCTGCATGCTCTGACTTGGAAGGGTTTATCTTGGAAGGGTTTGTTATTGGAAAGCTTCTTGATCTTTGCGTATTTCCTTTTTTTTTTTTTAATGCAGTTATATGAAACAATACACAGAGATTCCTTGTGCCATCTACCTAGTTTGCCCCAGTGGTAATATCTTGCAAAAACTATAATACGATATCACAGCCAGGATATTGATATTGATATAGTGAAGATACAGAACATTCCCATCTCCACAAGGATCCCTCATGTTGCCCTTTTATAGTCACACTTACTTCCCTCCCCACTCTCCCCTTTAATCCATGTAAATGCTAATCTGTTCTCTATTTCTACAATTTTGTCATTATAAGAGTGTTATATAAATGGAAGCAAACAGTATGCAACCTTTTGGGATTGGCTTTCTTCATGTAGCATAATTCTCTGGATATTCATCCATGTTATGTGTGTATCATTAGTTCATTCCTTTTTATTGCCGAGTAGTGCTCCATGGTATGGATGTACAACAATTTGTTTAACCATTCACTTCTTGAAGGACATCTAGGTTGTTGCCAGTTTTGGGCTATTATGAGTGAACATTTGTATACAGGCTTTTGTGTGAACATAAGTCTTCATTTCTCTGGGATAAATGTCCAGGAGTGCAAGTCCTAGCATATTTAGTTTTTTTAAAAAACCGCCAAATTGTTTTCCAGAGTGGTTGTACCATTTTACATTCCGACCAGCAATCCAGTTTTTCTGTGTCCTTGCCAGCATTTGGTGTTGTCTCTATTTTTTATTTTAGCCATTCCGACAGGTGTGAAGTAGTATCTCACTGTGCTTTTAATCTGAATTTCACTAATGTCTAATGACATTGAACATCTTGTCATGTGCTTATTTGCCAACTGGATGTCTTCTTCATTGTGTCTTTTGCCTCTTTTCTAATTGGATTTTTTTCCTCTTGCTCTGTAGTTTGTAATCTTTTCATCCTTTCAATGGAGTCTTTTGTAGAGCGAACATTTTTAATTTTGGTGAAGTTTAATTAATCAGTTTTTTCTTTTATGGATTGTGCTTTTGGAGTCATGTCCAAGAACTCTTTTTTTTATTTAATTAATTTTTTATTGAGGTAACACTGGTTCATAACATTGTATAATTTTATATGAAAGAACACTTTCCTACCCTTAGACCCAAAGATTTTTTTTTTAAATAAAAGTTTTATAGTTTTACATTTGACATTTTGAGTTATTTTTCCTATAAGGTGTGAGTTTTATGTCAAGTTTCATTTTTTTCGCCTATGGATGACCAATTGCTCTCGCACCATTTGTTGAAACAGCTATCCCTTCCTCCACTGACTTGTTTTCATGCGTTTGTCAAAAATCAGTTGGGCATATTCGTGTGCGTCTATTTCTGAGGTCTCTACTCTGTTCCATTGATCTGAGTGTCTATCCCTTTGCCAATACCACATAGTCTGGATTACTATAGCTATGATTACATAGCTTTAAATCAGGTTGACTGATTCCTCCAATTTAATCTTTTTCAATAATATTTTAGCTATTCTAGTTGTTTTACCTTTCCACATAAATTTTAGACTAATCTTGCTGGGATTTTGATAGAAATTGTGTTAAACCTATATATCAACCTGGGGAGAACTGACATCTGTACTGCATTGAGTCTTCTTATCCGTGAACACGGCATATCTCTGTTTATTTAAATATTTAATTTCTTTCGTCAGCATTTTGCAGTTTTCAGCAGACAGATGCTATACATGCTTTGCTATATTTACACCAAAGTATTTCACTTTTTTGAACGATTGTAAATGGTATTGTATTCTTAATTTCTGAATTTCCAGGCTTTCTCTTTCCTGGTCCTTTGGCTAAAAAGAGCAGGCTTTTGTTTAGGGCTTCTTTTGTCTGCACCCATTGGCTTTCTGGGATTTTGGCTTCTTCAGCTCCAAGTCTGGGATAAATGAAGTAAAAAGAAAACCCAGGGAACCCACCACTGTGTTATTCCTTAGGTCCCAAAGTCCCTAGCGAGTCCCATAATCCCTATTATATTTTTCTGCATAATTTTGGTAGACTTCAGGTTTTTCAGCTATGTATATATTGCATTATAGCAGAAATATCCATATAGTAAGCCTAAATCCTGCCCTTCAAGAATTTACAGTTTAGGGGGCTCTAAATTTCTCCCGTATCTAACCTAATATTACATGATGTTAGGATAAACAACAGCAAATTTTTTGGTTGCCACATGCCAACCACATCTCCTCCATCTTCCTGTAGCTGAAACTTAAAGCTTCACCATTTGCATTGCATTCCAGTGGACTCTGTTCTTTCTTTCAACAAAATGTAATTGCTACTATGTCCCAGGAGGGTTGAAACACTAAACTGGTATTGAGAATTAATAATACAGTGTAAATGAATTATTAAACCCTTTCCTGACACTGCTGCAAGCAGGGTAATTTTGTTAGGTGGGATGCTGGAAAGAGATACAGTGTGCCAGCAGGTGGGACTAGTCCAAGATAAGAGGTATGATGGAGACCTACAGATTGCCTACATTCAAGCCTGACCCCTCTGCCTATTACCGTTTGCCTTTGGGTAAGTTATTTAATCTTCCAATGAAGTCGTTTAGTCTCCTCGTCTGTAAAATGCTGATAAAAATAGAACACATCTGTTTTACTTTTCTAGAGCTGCTGTCACAAATTACCACTACCTTGGCTTAAAACAGCAGAAATTTATTCTCTCATAGTTCTAGAGACCAGAAGTCTGAAATCAAGGTGTTGGCAAGGCTGTGCTCCCTCCAGAGGCTCTAGGGGAGATTCCAGCTTCTGGTGGTTGGCAGCATTCCTTGATTGTGGCTCCTCTCTCTAGTCTCTGCTTGGGTCTTCACATGGTTTTCTCTCTGTCTGTGTCTTCTGCTCTTCTGTCTGTTATCAGGACACTTGTCATTGGATTTAGGCCCCACCCAGATAATCCAGGATGATCTCATCTTGAGATCCTTCACTTAATTACATCTGTAAAGATCTTTTTTCCAAATAAGGTCACATTCACAGTTTCCAGGGACATATCTTTTGGGGGGCCACCATTCAACCCACTACACTATCCCTTAGGATTATTCTGAGGATAAGGTCATTTCTGTAAAACACTTAGTCTAATGTCTGACACAGTAGTAAGTGTTCAAGGTTAGATTTACTATTATTCTTATTATTAGACAGCAGGAGGGCACAGGATGTCTGAAATTGGGTGGATATGAGGAGATGAAAGGAGTGGGCTGATGTTTCAGTTACCTATTGCTACATAACAACAAGCACCCCAAAACTTAGTGGCTTAACACAATAGCAATTTAACTCACGATTCTGTGGGTTGCCTAGGCTTGCTGATGGTTCTTCTGATCCACTTGATACAGCTGAGGTCACTTAGCAACTCCATCCATTTGGAGGCTGGAATATCTGTCCAAGATGGTGTCTCATCTTCCAGGTCTTTCTCCACAAGGCCTCTCTTCATTCAATGGTGAAGTCCAAGTTTCTTTATGACATGGTTGTTGGCTTCCCAGAGAAAAAGCAGAAGCTTCTAGGCCTCCTACACCCTAGGGCTGGAAGTGGCCCAGCATCACTTCTGACAGATTCCACTGGTTTGACCAAGTGACAAGGCTATCCCAGATTTCAAGGGATGGGTGAATAGACTCGACTTCATGATGGGAGGAACAGCAGCCCCCACACCTCCACCCCTGCCCCAGGGAAAGCAGTGGGGGAAGGAATTGATTTGGAGATTCTCTACCACAGTTGGCCCTAAAGACTAATTTCAGCTTCATAGATTTATTTTGTGCAGGTCCTGCATGCTGATCACCTGTTCTCCTATCCTGGCTCAGATTCTGTAGTTCAGTCAAGCAAATGGGTTTGCTATTTTCTCAATAGAGCTTTTACCTTCTTGCTTTTGCTCATGTCATTTCTTTAACCTGAAATGCTATTTTCTTTCCTTTTAAGCCATTCATGTTCACTGAGTCTTTATATTGAAGACAAACCTTACCTTCTGCAGCCGGTTCTCATTAAATTCACCTGGTTCTGACCTTTTTTTTTTCCTCTCCAATTTCTCTAGACATTTAGGTATTCAGTTTATGCTTTATTAATTTACATTTGCTGAAAGATTTTTTAAAACTATGTATTGCCAAGTATTTCAGATGCATATAGTCAGATCAGATTGTAAATTCATGGGGACATGGGCTATCCTAGTTTCGCCTCTTCCCAGATCGCCTAAATCATTTATTTTGCACAAACCAGATACTGTAGTTCACTTGAAAGAATGCTTCAGAGTGAAATTGAATTTGAGGCATTTCGAGAAGTTACAGCATATCTAAACAGCAGAGAGGTCAAGAATGCTAGATAAATAGGGTATAAATATTTAGTAGATGTTCTAGTGTTGAATGAGTAAATAAATGCCTACACGCATGAAGGCCACTGGGACTTGGCAAATCCATTTTCAGTGGAAATTATTTTGGTGCATGAAGTATTTATTAGGCACCTAATATGTTCCCGTCCTTTTGCTAGATCCACAGATGGAAATGTTAAAAAAAAAAGTAAAAATTGCAGTCTCTGACCTCCAGAAAAACAGGTACAGGGTAAGGATGCACGCATACTCATACAGTTAATACAAGCTAAGCAGAGGATGCTGGGAGAGCACAGGGAGAGTTCCTGAGCTCTGCATGATCACTCAGGAAATGGTTCCTGGATAAGGTGACACCAGCCAAAGCTTAGTGTGTAAGGGACAACCAAGCAAAGAGTGGAGTAGAGTGAGGAAGGGCATTTCAAGTAAGGAAAACTTCATGAAGAAAGGCACAGGAGTAGTTTAGCATGATGAATGAAGTGAGGGACAAGTGGTTTAAAGCATCAAGTGAGAGGTAGCAATTTGAGGGAGATAAGAATGGAGAGGTGGATAGGGACAGATCATGGAGGGCCTGTTTTCCCTGAGAGGGAGCTCAGCCAGGCTTAGGAGAGACTCTAGACCAGTACAAGCAGAGGAATAACATGGTCAACTCTGTGTTAGAGAGGTCCTTCTGGCAGCTTGTTGGAAGATGGAATTCATGAGCAAATTAAAAGCAGGAAAAGAGGGTGACCATTTAGGCAGGAGATGACTGAGGCCTTGAACTAGACTTTAATAATAGGAACACAGAAGAAATGGATTAGAGAACTATTTAGCAGGAAAAATGATAGCTACAGAGGGCTTGCTGAGTGATAGAATGTGCAAGATGACAGAGAAAGGTGAGTCTAGATGGACTTCCAGATTCCTAGCTTGGGTGACTCGAGAACTTCTTTGTCACTGTGTCTTGGAGGCAGGGGGAAGAGAATGGATGATGTAGAGAAGATGACGGGTTCAATTTTGTCTTTGCTGAGACTGAGGTACCCATTGGGATATTCGAGTGGATATAGGTACTCCTTCAACTGGAGAAGGCTACTTGGGAAAGCCTTGTCCTCAAGGGAGAGCCTTGTTTCAGTTAAGGTCAGGAAGTGGAGCGAGCATCTATGAAGAGTTTGAAGACATGGGGTGGTTGGGTTATCCTGGAAAGGGAGTTCTAGAGGGCACAGTTGATAGCTATGGGGCAGAAGGTGGGGAGGAGTGGTTGGATGGAGACAGGAGGCTGAGTCCTATGAGATGAGTGTGTGGGAGGGTCAGGGGAACATTGATGGCATATTGTTTAGTGAACAGGCTGACATAGCTTTCAGGCTTGCGTGGGTCAGCTGGCCTTGAGAATCCCCCATAGAATTTAGGATTTAAAGCAGGGAAGGGTCTGGGTTTGGCCCTGGGCAGCTGCAGCCCGGGCTGGTTAATATTGGTGATTTTAGCTTCATGTGACAATGGTGGCAGTAGAGTCTGCGATGGTGGCCTCCAGGCAACGGCCCCATGAACGCTACAAACCTTGTGGTGAGTGAAAGCCAGACTGGCAAAAAATGGCTCCAAGATATCTGTAAAATATATGATTTTATCTAAAAGTATATATCAACCAGGAAGTTAGCCATTTTCATTTAAGTTAGCTGTTATTCATTTAATTAGTCAAAATACTTCAAATTTTATTCTAAATTGGTAATGGAGACAAAGCGGGGAAAGATAGAGAGGTCAAGAAAACAAATGAATGCTAAGAACTACGTAAGTTAAACTAACTCAATTCTTGCTTTGTTCCTCAGAAATGATTTTTGAAGTCATGTGCAGAAGTAAAATGAGTTTCTAGAAGAGATGCTTTTTCCTCATACATTCCAACTTCTAACGACATCTCAAGCCTTCAGATTTTTTCCTGAGTGCTTCTGATATGGCTATTGCAGCCCAGCATTTGACTAATTAAAAAATTCAACAACAGCTAAATGCTCCAAAATAGAAAGCATTTTAGCCCAGGAGTAACACGTTTGGAAGATTCAAGGCATCAGGCATATAAGAGGTGAATCTTCTTAAATGTTCACCATAGCTTTCTCCCATGTGTAACCTCTCACGATGACCCCCTATAGTCCCCTTTGTCAAAGTCTCAGCATTTCTTCCTGTTGTTCAGAGCCTTTAACAACATGGCTTTGTCCTCATCTGGCAAATGGGAATAATAACAACTGTCCTATTTATCCCACAGGTTTTTGGTCCAGACGAAGGAAACAATACATGTGAAAGTGATTAGAAAGATGTAAATGCTATACGTGTTTAAAAGGCAGTTCCTTTATGGCTATGTTTTGGCTTTATTCTCCTTCCTTCAGTGCTAGCATTTCCTATTCCTAAACTCCAGGATTTCTAATACCTGGTGCAGGATTTCTCTCACTTCCAACTGCCTAGTCAACCTCTACTGAGGACCAGCACAACCTCTGCTTGAATATTCACCTTCCATCTTAGACCTCAAAACAATGGTTCTTAATGACCAGCGTGTCCTTGCCTTTGTTAACTGACTTGTCTACTTCAGACCCATCATCAACCTCCTTCTCCATGTTTCTGAGCCTAGAGTAACAAATCTACAGCCTCCTTTAGAACAAACAAACAAACAAAAGATGATCTCCGTTGGCCTCTCCTGGCCTGCCTGATTCTACTTCCACACAGGTTGTGTACCTGAATCATTCTCTCCTGTGAAACAGGAGGTAAGGATGAGGTAAGGGTACTGGGGATCTGAGTCTAACAGAGAAACTGTCTCACCCAAAGCTGCTGGGATACTGTCATCAAGTCCTGTGCAAGAGTAAAAGTCTAGGAAGAAGCAGGGACCAGAGAAAGGTATCCAGGTCAATCTTCAGAATGAAGGGAGACAAGACAGATACTGGAAGCTGGAGTATGAGAACAGGATTCAGGAGGCCTGGGAGGCCAGGATGAGGAAAAGAGGGTGGACCACCATCTTGAACAGGCATTATTGGCTGGCTGGCTTCTATATGATTTTCTGCATGGTGCTTGGGTATGCTGCTGGCCTCATTGAAAGGGCCAGGGATGGGGCAGACATCCTGGTTTGAGAATCACTCTCCCCTACTCAAAAAAGCCTTCACTGACTTCTACTGTCTATGGAGAAAGTCCAAACTCCTTAAGGTGGTGTAACCATTGTGTTCAGGTCTCACTAGCTTGGGGATTGAAATGGTCACATTTCCTTTGATGACCAACTACAGTGGTATGCTTAATGGCAGGTAGTTCTGGTTGCTTTCAGGTTCTCCGCCTCTTGGAGCCAAGCCCCTCCTCTCCCAATCTCAGGCCCACTCTTCAAACCCTCATTTTCTGTCTCTGCCTCTTCTCAGAGTGAATCATAGAGGAATGGCCTCAAAAGATATAGTCCCCCTTTCCCCAGGATTCAGTTTCATTCCAAGGATGCTTTGCATTACAGTTTAGTTTCAGTTTGGCCATGGAGCTTAACACTTTATAGTAATACTTTCTGCCTCTTTCTTACCCGTTTCTTTAAACCCATGTATAATCACAGACTCTCAGAATAGAAAGCACCTCAGAGATCATTGAGTCAAACTTCCTGGTATTTTTAAATAAAGAAATAGAAAAGTTAAATGACTTGCCTAAATGACAATTATTTGGGAATAGAGTTAGTATTTGTGTTCACGGTTTCGTGATTTCCAGTTCATAATGCTTCTGCTATACCACCCAGTGTCTTATCAGTTAGGTAATAGGTAATTTAAAGTAATTTATTAGTAAACGAAAGATCCAGTTTTATAAAGTGAATAATTGTCCCTTCATTTATCTGTTTTATAGGATTTAATTTGTATATACTAGGTTCCTAATGACAAGATACCCCCATATCTGATAGAGATAAAATGTATCATTTTTGAATGAGCTTAAACAAACACAGCTTAATTGGCTATTGTCTCTGCTGCCTACCTGTGTGAGTCTCAGAGACTCTGGGAATGGACTTTAGATCAACCCATCACAGAACTGTGGGGTCATAGGCGGGGAGGAGCAGTTATGAATGAGAAGGTTTACTTTTTTGCACATGTCTCCTCCACTGATCTAAGGGCCACATGAAGAAGGGGCGAGGCTCTAGCCATACCCGTGTTGCCAAAGGCTAACACAGTGCCCAGCTCAGAGTAAGGACTTGCGTTGAACAAAGAGAATGATTGAGAGAATGTTCCCTTTTTCTCAAATAGAAATGATGGTACAGAGAACTAGCACAGGAGATGGTCAGGGATATACTGAGTTGGTGAGGGGGGAGGCAGGGGAGTGAAGAAAGGGGATGTTCCATGTTTTAGTTCTTTATTGTGATATAACAAACCACCTTAAAACTCAGTAGCTTAAAACAACAATAATTTATTATTTCTTATTACCCTGTGGGTTGATTGGGCACAGCTGGGTGGTCCTTCTGCTACATATGATGCCAGCTGGGGTCACTCCCAAGACTGCACTCAGCAGGGAGCTCCATCCAAGATGACCTTGCACACTCCAGGGCCTCTCTTGGTGGGACCTCATATCATTCAATACTCTAGCCTGAGTTTCTTAAATAGTGGCTGGAACCTAGAGGGCAAGGGTAGACTGTCAGCTCTTGAGGCCTAAGCCTGGAACTGGCAAGGTGTCACTTCCCTCACATTCTATTGATCGAAGCAAGTCACAAAGGGAAGGAAAGTAGACTCCACCTCTTGATGGAAGTGGTGACATTCATGCATAAGAATGGGAGGAATTGTTGTAGCTATGTTTGCAGACAAATTGCAACTGGGAAGAAGAAAGGCTTGACTAAGGCACCAGTGGGTACACATAATGCAGACACCTAGGTAAGTCTATTGTGAAGGCAAATGTAGCTGTCCAACATCATTAAGGAGGCAAATAAGCTGAAATAGGATTTGCTCAGGTTAACAATAGGGCTGCTGTGTATGCTTTATCCCCTTAAGTCTCTGAATCAAGAAATGTCTTATTCTGAACACTATTGTCTGCACCCAATAGAGTTTTTCAAGACATTAGCTCTGAGGACAAAAGTATAATGAAGATTTTCAGCTACTGCAACTTTTCTGTAGAGACTGCTAGGGCCTTAAATGAAAGCAGTAAATTTTCCTCTTCTACAATAAGGAGAAACCCTCAAACCATGTAGGTAGCATAATTCAGAAGTTAGACGACAGTTTACAGTGAAGCATTCTTATGAGCAATCAAACGCAGCAGTCAAAGAATTTTTCCCTGTTTCGGCTTTAAAATACGAAGACGTCCAACCACACTGTGAACCCAGGACACAAGGAATGGAGCGTGCGGGGGAGAGACTTGGAAGGTCTGGGCTCCTTTGCAAACTCTGCTGTTCACTGGCTTATGGCCAGGCCTGGTCACCCAGCTGCTCCCTGCCTCTCCTTCTTCATTTTTCAAGTGGGAATAATAAAGTGGGCTCTGCCTTGCTTGGCCCTGCCTGCTTCCGAGGGTTATTGTGAGGCTGCTGTACAATAACAGATGTAAACATTCTGAACGGCGAGAAGTACTCTGAGTGTCGTCATTTGATCTCAGTGAATGACTAGGTAGATATATAATAAAATATCTGTCAATAGCTAAGGTGAGTATTGTTGGTTTCTTAGCAGAGGCTTTATTATTATCTTTAAATTCTAAAAGTCATTCATGAAAGTAAGCTAATTGTAAAAAGTTCAGATTCGTATAAGGCAAACAAGAAAACCTTTTTTACATCCCAACTCTCACCCCATCCCTCTCTCTCCAGAGGTAACCACAGTTATAGTTGATGTGTAACCTTCTAGATCATTTCCATAATTTAAAAATACATACAAACACAGATACATACCATTTTTCCATAAATGTTATCTATTATTATGGCTTTCCATACCATTTGCAGACAGCTTCTTCAGAAGTCAGTGAAATATTTTCCATATTTCCAAATTAAAGTATTGGCTAAAGGTTTTATAACTTTACTGACAATACTCTGTGCAAATCTCAGGCATAGAAATTGTTTTTCTCACTTTTGTTAATTGTATGAATATATTTTATTTTACTGTATTGCACACATCTTTGTAGGAATTCTTTAAAACCTTTGGGAACAAGATTTGAAACGCATAAAAATAATTATCAAATGTTAGTTGCTTCTGCTTCCCCTTTGCTTCCCTGATGACGTCACATTTTCTAAACAAACTCTCAAGCTGCTAGGAACAAGAGACTTCCCTCTCCCGCCGCCTTCAATGTTTTCCTGGGTCATTCCAAGTTCAGGGAGTGACTTTTACCTCAGATAACTCCTTTCTAAGACACAAATCCAAGTCTACCTTTGAATTCCTCTAACGTTCTTTCACAGTTACCTCAGGGAAGTCGTCACTCTTCAACCCTTCCTCAGTTCACTCACTCGCCTAAAAAACACGGCCCCAGATCTGACTTGTGCTAGCAATAAATCTACCTCAATGAAAAATTCCATTTGCTGATTTATTTGTGCTACGTATTTCTCACATGCCTGCTCTGGGCCAGACGCTGTGGACCACCTGGTCATGACAGCCTGTGTCAGGGGGCCTGACCCCGTTTAGGGCATCACCCAAGACTTCTCTGAAGAAATGCCTAGGAGGTAACTAGGTGAACTGTGTGTGTGTGTGTGTGTGTGTGAGATGGGGGTGAGGGTGGGGGAGATCTGACCAGATTTACATTTTGAAACAATAATTTTGACTTCGTTACAGAAAACAAGTTTGGGGGCACAAACATGTTGCAAGGAGACAGTTTCAAAAGAGTTGAGTAAAAATAGACAGTATTTTATGAGGATGAAGAGCCTCTGATAATCTTGAAACAACACAGACATTCCTTTTAAAACCTTAAAAAATGTTCATTTATCACCTAATCTGATGATTAAATCCATTTCAAGCATTTAAGTATTATTGAAGATAAAAATCTGAAGAAACTATTTCTCAATTATGATGATTCAAATTACAACCAGAACATTTCTACTATTTTTTGTATAAACCTATGATGGTTCTGCTGTGGTCTTTGCTGGGGACAGTGGAGGGGAGGAAGGTCCAAGTGAGGCAAGGCAGGGTGGCCAGGGGCAGGAGGTCCCTGTCGGACCACCCAGGAGCACTCAGCCCGGCTTACCTTGGTGTACTTACCTGGTCCAGGATAGAGTCTAGGTCTTTAAGTCTCAAAACTTGATGCATTACCTTCCTGCCTCTACTGCTCTCATTTTTCCCAATTTCATTTGAAATCATTTACTCATGATCCAGATTTTAATGGTCATACTTATCAATAAATACTCAGGAACCATTTGTTGAGGAGACAGTAATAAAAAAATATCTATGGGGTATGAGCCAGAATCCCCAAAGCATATGATTTGGCAATGTCAGGCTTATGAAAATCAGGAATATATTTCATTCTCGTCCTCAACAAAAGGCTCAGCACAGCCATATTAACTGTCAAGGAGACAAACAGCTTCTCACGAACACAGATCAGCTATTGCCATTTAAGGATCGTCTCTGAGAAAGAGATTCTGTCCTCTAAAAGTTTAATGATTTCGGTTTAATCCATACATTAAAATATTTAAAAATAAATCCCACTGAAGAATACTGAGAATGGGTGCTGTCCAGGTGACATTGTTAAAATAAATCTTCATTCACTTTTGTTTCACTGATTTCTAGTTTAATTAATTTTTAAACCACGGTTTGATTTATCTATATTTTTCAGCCCCCACTTTTCTTTCCTTTGCTGTGATGTTTTTGGACTTTGCTTTCCAGGATGCTTGAATAATTTGTGATGGATTATTTGAAGAAGCGGATTTCAAAAATGAAGGAAAGACTTTGGGTTGGTGAATGGTTCTGCTTGGAAATGCATCCTCCAATGAGGTTGGAGAATGATAAGAAAAAGTAAAAATGCCGAGGAAGGTAAAGCAAGAAAAGAAACAAGACACTATGGATAAACAACAGTTTCACTCACAGGGAGAAATGGATAATTTTATGTGCTTTCAGTAGATGCAGCTAATTGGGAATTAACCCACTCCTAGTCTTTCCAACCACAGATGTGGCTGGTCCAAACTAGAGAAAAAAATTAGGTTAAAGCTATTACACACAGGAATTCATAGTTTGAGTTTCTAGTTGAAACGTGGAACAGAAATGGGAGACAGTAGGGTAAAAAACATTGGCTTTAGAGGTTTAGATTGATAGATGATTTTATATATATGCATATAGATGATTATATATACATACACATATATATGTATATCTATCTAAAAGTATACATATATAGCGATGTAAAATTATCTCTATATCTATCTCCATATCTATGTTTATATCAAATAGTAAGCACTAAACGATTGTATGCTTTTGTTATTATTGTGGGTCTCAAGGTTAGATTGGCTGAGAGTTGTTGAGGTAGGCTGAATAATGATCTCCTGAAGATGTCCATGGCCTAATCCTCAGAACCTGTGAATGTTACCTTAAATGACAAAAGGGGTTTTGTAGATAGATATGATCAAATTAATGATTTTGAGAGAAGAAGATTACCAAGTAGGCTCTATGAAAACACAGGGCTCTTTATAAGAGGGATGCAGAAGAAGTCAGAGTCAGAAAGAAGGTGATGTGACAACAGAGCCAGAGGGACAGAGAGGAAGAGATTTGAAGATGCTAGCTTTGAAGATGGAGGAAGGGGGCTGTGAGCTAAAAGATGTAGGCTGCCTTTGAAAGCTGGAAAGGGCAAGGAAACAGATTCTCTCCTGGAGCCTCCAGAAGGAATGCAGCCCTGTGGACCCATTTTAGACTTGTGACCTCTAGAATTGTAAGATAGTAAATTTGTGTTGTTTTAAGACTCTAAATTTGTGGTAATTTGTTATAGCAGCAGTAGGAAACTAATACAATTGTGGTTGGAAAGGGCTTGTTGGAGCTTCCCCCACAGCTACCTCTCTCCGGGTGGTCCATCTGTGAGGAGTCACAACCCCAATCCTACAGGAGCTGGAGCTTTGAAAGGAGACCTGAAGGCGCTCAGACGATGGCTCCCCAGTGCTGGGCTTGGAGACTTGCAGGCAGGTGCCTTGTCCCTCCATTATTAGCAAGCAAACCGTAGCTGGCCCTGCTCCTCCTTTTGAGCAGAACTAGGATTTGGTGAGAGCTCAGCAGAGCCAAGGAAGAGAGAGAGAAGCAGGAGCCCACACACACACATTGCAAGTGGTGGATTGCTGGCTGTGGTTTTCCTGGAAGGCTCTTAAATGGCTTTCAGAACATTCTTTGTTGGGGCCCTACATTCTTTGGCAGGGCTGTCATGACTCAAGGGGTGTGGCCAGAAAGCCACATCCTTTGGGGTGTTTTGTGGGCTGCTCTGCAGCGTGGCATAGGGACCCTGGTTTGAGAGACATGCTTCCCTCTAAACTGATTACTCAGGAAGTGTTTGGGCCTTTTCTGTTTATCCTTGAGATGAAAATGTCTCTGCAATCTCTCACTACGAAAAGGAGTTTGTTGTTAAGTTTTAGAAACAGTTACTTTGAGTCCTTACAAACGTGCTGAAGTATCATCCCAAGTCCCAAAGGCCAAAAATAAAAGGCAACATCCCACTCTCTCTTCAAGCAATGATTCAGCCACCATGGTCAGACAAGAGGCCATTATCCTATTCTGTAATATTTTGCTCACTCCTCCGTGCTCCCAGATACAGCCCTAGTCAATAGCTGTATTAAAGCACTTGTTCCAACATTTTGGAATCATTTGACTCCCCCAGTCCCAAATCCATGCATTCTTCAGTGCTGGAGTCATGTCTAATAGAGCTTGGTACTCCCAGAGATTAGTACGGTGCTTAGCACATAAGTTATTGACAATGTTTGTTGGACGAATGAACTTTACCCTATGCAGTTATTTATGTAGTTGATAACCACCAGATGTAGCTGGGTTTTTTTTTCAAACTGAGGAATAATTTACATACTATCTATCAAAAAGCATTAAATAGTTTGTTCAATGATTTTGCAATTGAACACATCATGGCAATTGAATATACCGAATAAGAGATAACGACTATTCATGTATTTTTTCACCATGATGAATTTTGCTTATTTTTAGACTTCATATAAATGGAATCATACAGTATATACCTTTTTGGTTAGCTTCTTTCACTTAGCATAACTGACAGTCTTAAGCTTCATCTGTGTTGTTGCATCATCAGTGATTTTTTTCTTTTGTTTTTGATTACTCCAATTTATGAATATACCACAATATGTTTATACATTTTCCTATCGATGGGCGTTTGGACTATTTCCAGTTTGGGGCTACTATGAATAAAGCATCTCTGAATATTCTTGTACAAATCTCTTTGTGGACATGTTTTCATTTCTTTTCAGAAATATTGAATATGGAATTTCTGAGTCATAGGATAGATGTAGAAGTTAATTTCATAAGAAACTGACAGACTGTTTGCCTAAGTGGTTGCACCATCCTTCATTTCTAGCAATGTTTGAGAGTTCCAGTTTCTCCACATCCCCATCAACTTTTGGTGTTGTCATACTTTATATTTTAGCCATTTTAATGAGTGTAAAGTGATATCTCATTATGGTTTTAATTTGCATATCTGTGATGACAAATGATGTTGAAAACATTTCATGTTCTTATGGTTCACACTTACATTTTCTTTTGTGAAATGGCTCCTCCAATCTTTTGCCTATTTAAAAAAATTAGATTGTTTTACTTGTTATTGATTTGGAGGAGTTCTTTATGTATACTGGAGACAAACCCTTTGTCAGATGTATGTACTGGCTTTCCTATTCATTTTCTTAATGGTGTCTTTTGGTATGTGAAAATTTTTATTTTGACAAAAGCCAATTATCATTTTTAAAAATTAGTGCTTTTTGTGTCCTTTTAAAGTAATCTTTGCCTACTCCAACATTGCAAAGATATTATTTTATGTTTTCTATTAGAAACTTTATTGTTCTAGGTTGTGTTTTATTTTATGATCCATCTCAAACTAATCTCATTGTATGGAATGAGATAGAAGTCAAGTTTATTTTTGTTTTTCATATGGCTATCCAGTTGTTCCAGTACCATTTGTTCACAAGTCTTCCTTTCTTCATTGAATTGTCTTGTTACTTTTAGTCAAAAATCAACTGACTTTATATATGTGACCATTTCTGGATTCTGTTCTATTGACATTTGCCTATCCTCATGTCAATATGAAAAGGTCTTGATTCATCTAGCATTATATTCAGTTTTGAACTAGATATTATGTCTTCCAACTTTATTCTTTTTCAAAATTGTTTTGGCATTTCCATATCAGTTTTAGACTCAGCTTGTCAATTTCTCTAAAAATGCCTGCTGAAATTTTGATAGGAATTGTAGTAAATCAATAAATAAATCTATGGAGAATGGATGCCTTAACAACATTAAATTTTCCAATTTGTAATCATATCATGTATCTCCATTTTATCTGGGCTTCTTTAATTTCTCATAATAATGTTTTATAGTTTTTATTGTAGAGTAATTGCATATCTTTTATTAGATTTTTCCTAAGTATTTGATACTTTTTATACTATTGCAAATGGGGTTTTTAAAATTTTGTATTCCAATAGTTTATTGCTGGTATTTAGATTTTGAATTGATTTTTGTATATTGACTCTGCTAAATTTACTTGTTAGTTCTCAGAGTTGTTTTGTATATTCCATACATAAACGATAATGTCATCTACAAAGAATGACAATTTTACTTCTTTCTTTATGCCTTTTATCTGTATACTTTTTATTTCTTTTTCTTGTCTTATTACATTGGCTAGAACCTCCGGTAAAATATTGGCTAGAAATGATGAAAGTGGATGTTCTTGACTTTTTCCTGATCTTAGAAGAAAATATCATTAAATATTATGTTAGCTACAGGTTTTCAGAAATGCCTTTTCACAGTACAAGGAATTTACTTCTATTTTTAATTTTCTCAAAGTTTTTATTATGAATGGGTATTGACTTTTCTCAAAGACTTTTTATACATCTACTGAGATGATGATATGATTTTCCCCCTTAATTTTTTAATTTCATTGACTAATTTTCTAACGTTAAACCAACGTTGCATTCTTTAAAAACCTGACTTGGTCACAATGTTTTTTTTTTTTTAAATATATAACTGGATTATTTTTCTAACATTTTGCTAAAAATTTTTCCTCTATGTTCATCAGGAATATTGCCTGTAGTCTCCTTTTATTATGTCTTTGTCAGTATTTGGTATTGGAATTATGCTAGCTTCATGAAATGGATTGGGAATTACTTCTTCCTCCTCTATTTTTGAAAGAGTTTGTGTTGAACAAATATTATTTCTTCCTTAAATGACAATAGATTTAATCAGTGAAATCACATGGGTCTAAAGTTGTCTTTGTACAAAGATTTTTGAAAATGAATTCAGTTACTTGAATTGACATAAGAATACTTATTTATTTATTTATTTTGTTATACATTCTTGTATTTATTTGGTAAGTTGTGTTTTTCAAATTCTTTTCTATTTCATCTAAATAGTTTAATTTATTGGTATAAATTTGTTCATAATATTCCCTTACTGTCTTTTGCATAATTGTAGGATCTGTGGACATGTTCCCCTTTTTCATTCCTAATGCTAATAATGGTATTTTCTCTGTTTTCCTTGATCAGTCTTGTCTGGGGTTTTATTAATTTTTTGGAAAAAAACTTGTTGACTTTCTCTATTATTTGTCAATTTTCTATTTCATTGATTGCCATTTTCACCTTCATTATTTTTCTTTTTTCTACTTTGGGTTTTATTTGTTCTTCTTTTTCTAGCTTCTTAATGTGCAGCTTAGATAATTTATTCTATATCTTCCTTTTTTCTGATAAATTTAAAGCTATATATTTCCCTCTAAAAACTTCTTTAGCTATGTCTTACAAATGTTGATATGTTGTGTGTTCATTACCATTCAGTTCAAAATATTTTCTAATTTCCTCTGTGATTTCTCCTTTGACCATAGGTTAGTTAGACACATATTGTTTAACTTTCAAATATTTGGGATTTTTTTCAAATATCTTATTGTTATTGATTTCTACATTTATACCATTATGGTCATAAAACGTATTCTGTGTGATTTCAATCCTTGTAGTTTTAAGGAGTCTTGTTTTATGGATCAGCATATTTCATCTATCTTGGTTAATGGTTTGCAGTTAAAAAGAAAGAATGTATATTCTGCTGTTATTGGGAGTTGTGTTCTATAAATGTCAATTAGGTCAAGTTGGTTGATACTGTTGTTCAACCTTTTTAAATTTTACTGCCTTTTTTCCCCCCTACATTTTCTATCAGTTACTGAGGAAGTGCTGTTAAAATGCTTAACAGTGATTATAGGTTTATCTTTTCTTCCCATTTCTCCCATCTTCTATCTGATTTTGCTTTATATATTTTGAAGCTATTTTTTTTTCTCCCATCTTTTTGTTCCTTTGTTCTTCCTTCTTTTGGGTGAATCACTTATTTTCAAATATTCCATTTAATCTCCTGTATTGTCCTTTAAGCTTTACCTCTTTGTAATACCTCTGGGTGATTTTTTTGGAGTTGTTTCAGTTATTACAATATACATCTTATAATTATCATAATCTATCTTCAATAATATACTACTTCATAATCAATGTAACATACTTCCAACTGCATATTTCATTTATACTCCTTCCACCCTTTGCAATACCATTTTCTTATATTTTACTTCCAGATATGCTATAAACTCCACCATATATTGTTATTTTTGCTTCAGTCAATAATCTTTTAAAAAATTACATCTATATATCTATATACATGTCTATATACACCTGTATCGACATATCTGTATAAGTATATAGCACTTAGAAAAGGAAAGGGTCCTTTTGTATTTGCCCAGGTATTTATTCGGTCTGTTCTTCATTTTTTAAAAAAATTATCTCTTGCAGTGTAGGTCTGCTAGAGATGAATCCTCTCAGCTTTTGTCTTTCTGAAAATGTCTTTTATTTTACTTTAATTTCTGAGGGATGTTTTTATAGAATTGTAGGCTGACAGTTTTCTCCTTTCAACACTTTAAAAATGCCATTCCATATTCTTCTGGGAGCCATTATTTCTCTGAGAAGTCAGCCTTCATTTGTATTGTTTTCCTCCTACATGTAATGTCTTTTTTCCTCTAGCTGCCTTTAAGATTTGCTCTTCATCTTTGGCTTTCAGCAATTTGACTATGAGGTACGTAGGGTTGGTTATCTCTGTATTTTTCCTACTTGGAGCTCACAAGCTTTCGGATTTATGAGTTGGTATTTTCATAGATAGTGCATTGTTTTCCACACTCCAGCAATAATCACTACTTTTTGTGACACAGACACCCTCAAAGTCGGATACTTCCCTTTCTCCCATCTACTTTATTTCCAGTGTTCTCCTTTGGCCTGTTTCCAACCCAAAACCTGACCTATCACTAACATGAGAGGACACTGGGACTGCATCCCACCCTCCTGGAGTGACGGGCTCACACTCTCCATGAGCTGAAGTCATCCTCAGCAGCTTATCTAAATTTCCTCTAATGTTCCACTTCCATTCTCGGTCTCTCCATGGAGCTGTATTTTCTCAATCAACCCAAATGTTTCCTTCACATTTTATCTAAAGTTCTTATAGTCCACGGGTCAGAGGACAGAAAATAGTTACCGGCAACACCCTGAGCATCTGTGACCAGGAAGGATGTCTACTCACGTGACTCGGGCAGTGTAGCACTGTTCTTGATTCTGTACTGTGGGGGAGATTTTATCAGTACTGACACCATCTAGAAGAATCAGAACAGAGCCCAGAAGCAGCAGGCTAGAATGGAGAGAACTCAGTCAGAGCAAGAGAGAAAGCCGTAGGACAGACCACATACACTAAAAGGGAAGCCAGCCCTCTGTACCCAATAACTTGGAGAACAATTTTGCGGGGCAGATGAGAAGGCAGCAAAATTCCTCACCAATGTTACTGACCAATACTCTGAACTTTAAGCAAAGGTCAAATCTCAGCTCATAAGCTGAGATTAGGATGTTCTATAAATAGTAATAAAGGCCCTGATGCAAAGGTGTAAGACCGGTGAGAGAAAAGAAATTTGTGGAGGATTCAGAAAAGGAACAATAGGACTTGGATACTCCAAGAGGCCAAAATGGAAACTATTCATTGTATCTCACTGATTCTTAGTGATGGGAAATCGGAAGTATATACCAAGAACCCACTAATGACTTATAGTTCGCTTAAAAAACTCATACCTGGCTTTAACTAATACATAGTTCCATTCCACAGTGGAGGTTGAGGCATTTTTACTATCCCTTCCTATTGCTTTCATAAATTCCCAATGCTTACACAGGCGTCTGGGCTTAGGGTGCCCTGGCATGATCCTTGCAGCTAACAGAGCGTTGCCCAGAGATGGAAAACCACATGAACAGCAAGGCCCTGACAAGAAGCGGCTTTAGCAGGGCTTTTCTCTGTCAGGGTGTGGTGCTTATTAGACTTTACACTCCTGCCCAAACATGCCCTCATTTCCTGTTACTAAGCAGTGCAACATCCCTTATGGTAGATGCTTTAATAACAGAGCTGCCTCCAACGGAGAAGATCAAGACATTGCAGAACCACAGTTGCCATAGAGCCCTCTATGGAGGCTTGTGTCACTTTGAAGCTGTGGGCAGAGTACCCCCAAATCTTGAAGAGCCCATTGCAGGGCAAGAGGAGCTCACAGACTCCACACAGACACTCAGCTGCAGCGTTGGCAAAGCTGTGGCGGTTACCAGAGGGGAGGCATATCCTGCCTCTGATCATGTCTTCTAAACCAAGAATCAAAGTCTGCCCAAATTGACAAGTACCAAAACCTGGAAAAGCCAATCTTCCTCTGGACTGGTGATCCCTTGTAACAGGGTAACTGTAAAAAGGGCCAGTGTGTAAGGGCTGACCTCAGTGTCTCAGGCTGCAGGTCACTGAGAAAGAGAACTGTGTTTCCCCTGGGAATTATGGGTATTTTCCTTCCTGGTCTGTTTGGTTTCCCCTTTTTCTCTCCAGCTTTTCTCCCTCTTTTTTCCTGCTCTCCTTGTCCATGTACGATGATCCGTTTGGAGAGAAAGTGTAGGAACCATCTGTAATTCTTTCCACTTTCATTCTTTTATGCTAGCCCATCCCTCCCTCATACTCGACACTAACACCAGCCCAGAAAGTGCTAAGGTCCCTCCTAGAATGCCATCCACCATTGCAGCAGCCCCTCAGGATTGTTTAAAGGAGAACGTGTTAAGGTGTGTGATGATGCTTTTTATCACGATTAGACTATAGGCTCATCTGATTGGTGTAACTTTACAGGCTACCCCAGGAAAGACTACAGTGCCTTGTAATTGTGGACGTTCAAGAAATACTCATTGGAATAATTTTAAAAGTTAAACAGCTTTTACATTGCTGTGCAGAAACAAGGTGATATTATTTGGGTGCTATCATCCAGTTCTATAATTCTAAGGCACCTGTCGTATATAAAGAGCTCCCATTAGGAGAGAGCACTTGTGGCCCACACCTTGTGTTTCCATGTTGGGGAGTCTCCATCAGAAAAACAATCTGGCCCCCACCTCCCATTTGGGGCACAGAAGAATCCACGCACATGTGACACAGAGGCTTCTGGGTTCTCTAGTTTCAGAGCTGCCTGCCTGCCAAGAGTCTTCTGCTTGCTTTCTTGGCCACAGAGTAAGCAGAGTAGGGCAGACTCTGGCCCTGGTGCAGAGGTGGAAGTTGTCCACAGTTGCCTGTGACCAAGTATCTGTGACACAGTGGGTGTCTGTGTTAGACACAGAATTAGATCTGCCTAATTCAGGGGAAGTGCTCATTTACCCAGCTCATGTTCTCTGCCTAAATTACATTCTCCAAATAACATTATCGCTGGAAATGCTGGTATTTTGGTATTTCCTATCTGCTTCCTGCATCTATTTCTCAGTTGGTTCTGAGCTCAGGAAAGAGATAAAATGATATTTATTGACTCATGCCTTAAATACCAAAGTTCCTTTAGCTCAAGTCCAGTAAGCTTATGGGAATGACGGTCAAATTGGGCTCGAGCCTTCTTCTTGACAAAACCACCCGCAGAAGGAACTCTTTTCCCTCTGCTCCCACCACTTCCCAGCAAACGGCATTTCCTGAAGATGGAAAACACGGCCCACTCCTGTGAGGAGGGCAGCCAGGGCAGCCTATCTGGATCTGTGATCTTGGGATATTTGCTTCACTGGAATATTTTCAACTTAATGGGTTTCTTGGTCATTATTGCTTTTGATTTGTTTTGTTGTTGTTATTAGCGTAGGAGAAGAGAGAAGGTCAGAAGTACTGGCTTTGGTTTGTGAATATTCTACCAGTAAATCACGATATGTCTCATACTTCATCTCATTTACAGCAGGTAAGAAACTCTGAAATTCTGTCCTTTTTAAAATGAAATTTTTCATTCAACAAGTATTGAGTGCTATGGCAGGAACTTTCCTAGAGCTAGGGCTACAATGACGAGCAAAACCAAATATGAACTCTGACCTTGTGGAACTTTTACTCTAGAGAGGGAGACTGGCCTTAGCAGTCACCAAAAATGAATGTGAAGATGCCTTCTTTCATTTCTTGATGTCCTTGGCCAATTTGTTATTTTACGGATTTCATATGAGGCCCTAAAGACAATTTACTCTGTTGCCATTGTAAAGATTAAGCGCCACCATCTCATGCATGTGT